ACAAAAGGACAAGTTGCAGATAAAGAATGGACTGTTGTATAGGAGGACTTTAAGGCCTACAGGGAAGGAAGTGTTCCAATTGGTGCTTCCACCAAAATATCGGCTCCAAGTATTAAAGCAGTTGCATGACGACTTTGGGCACCTCGGTATTGAAAAAACAACCGAGTTGGTGCGGGATCGGTTCTATTGGCCGAAAATGGCACATGACATTGAACAGTATGTCAAGACCTGTGGGGTATGCGTGGCTCACAAGACCTTGCCTCGCAAAACAAGTCCCCTACACCAGATCACAAGTCGAGGCCCATTAGACTTGGTCTGTATAGACTTCCTGTCGATTGAGCCAGACTCTCGTGGGGTGGCTAATGTCCTCATTATTACCGACCATTTTACTCGGTATGCTCAGGCCATACCCACCATCAACCAAAGAGCTACTACAGTTGCTAAAGTTCTGCTAGAAAAGTTCTTTGTGCACTATGGCCTACCATGTCGAATCCACTCTGACCAAGGTCGTGACTTCGAGAGTTCACTGATAAAAGAGCTCCTTAACATGCTGGGGATAAAGAAATCGAGAACTACACCCTATCACCCCCAAGGGGATCCTCAGCCAGAGCGCTTTAATCGTACTCTCTTGTCTATGTTGAGCACTCTCAATCCAAAGGACAAACAGAAATGGAGTCAGCATGTAGCCTCTATGGTTCATGCTTATAACTGTACTCGCAATGAGGCAACAGGATATTCACCATACTTCCTGATGTTTGGCCGAGATGCTCGTCTGCCTGTGGATGTGTGTTTTGGTCTGTCTCCAGCTGGAGAAGGAGGCACAACACATCATCAATATGTGAACAAACTGAGAAAAGAATTACATCATGCTTTCCAGCTCGCAACTGAGGCTTCCAATAAGAATCATAAGAAAAACAAGCGAGGCTATGACAGCAGGGTACGAGCCCAGAACCTGCAGGAAGGGGATCGAGTTCTCATTCGAGCCTTGGGAATCCCTGGAAAACATAAGTTAAAGGAGAAGTGGAATCTGCAACCTTATGTGGTTGTTGGAAAGCTTCCCAACTTACCTGTTTATCGGGTAAAACCGGAGCGTGGGCGAGGAGTTGTAAAGACTCTTCACCGAGATCATCTGCTACCAATAGGGTTTCTGGTGAGGATTCCAGACATCCCTGAACAAAGCTGCCTGCCTCAGAGACCTTCCACCAGATCCACTCCTGTGGCTAAAGCAAAGACTGAGGTGCAGCATTCAGCAGAGGAAGTGAGAGAAGAAGATTCTGAAGATGATGAAGACACCCCTCAGTATTACTACGACGAGGTTGTCCATGATGCCTGGTTAACACATCCTCCACCTGTTCAGTTGTTGTCCCTTGCTAATGACAAGTTGGAGGTCATCTCTGAAAGAGATCCTGGTGGACCAAGTCTGTCCTGCAATGAGGAGAGATTGCTTGACCACGACGCAGCGGTAGAAGAGGACGCCAGTGGTGTTATACTTTCATCAGAGGACCTTGTGGCGGACACAGGGCTAGAGGTGGGAGACGTCCCAAAATCTAGTGTGTCTGATGATGAAGTTGACTCTACCAGCATTCCTTCTGCTAAACGTCTAGTTAAGCCTGTCATCCGTTTGAGCTACGACGAGCCAGGGAAGCCCACAGACAAGCCATTGGTCATTGTGCACAGAGGAATGAGGATATACATAACCAGAGACGCTGAGGAAGATCCTAATATTGTCTGTCATCCGCCCCGCAATGTCCCAGTTCACAGATCAGCAAGATGCAGCTTTGAGAGTTTGCAAAATATAGGACTGTCTGATGGGGACATCTAGACATTTAGGACGGGGAGGGTGTAACCCGTTGGGTTCTCAGCTAGAAGAGTTTGTTAACCGATGGGTTCTCAGCTAGGAGAGTTTGTCAACTCTTTTACCACATGAAAAATTGTCTGATGGGGACATCTAGACATTTAGGACGGGGAGGGTGTAACCCCCTGGGTTCCCAGAAATATTGTTGTTTTGAAAAATAACAAACTTAATATCTTAAAGTAAGATATAACAATGTCAAAGTCTTTTAGTAGGAGTTTGAAATGAGCAAGAGTTCATTAAAAAGAAAAAACAGTTGAAGTAAAAAGTATTAAAATATTGTGTTCTGTTACTTTAAGAACGAACAATTATTGTATAGTTTGTATGTAAAGTACAGCTCAACACGAGGTGTGACACACTAGAATGCTGTGTGTTTTGTTGTTCTGCCTAAGGTCAGTTACTATTGGGTGATTGCACTTTTCCTGAGTTCTGATTGACTGGGGGGCGGGACAAAAGAGAGTACCGCGGGAGAGGAGAGCAGAACAAGAGAAGGGAGAGACGACGCGGGTACTCGGTGGAGTTAGCTGGAACTTTTGGTGAGCCGTTTCGGTGGAATACCGGCTACAAAGTGCCCCAACTTGGCTGTGGACTAGCACCAAGGGACAGCTGACGGACCGAGGAAGAAGCGAGCGGTGAGCTGGATGCGGAGGTCTGCATCGGAGCTGTCGAGACCCACTACACCTGCGTCGGGCCTGCTGTGTTGGAGTTGGCTGCGGTTTCCTCCGCCTCTACCCAAAAGGCGCGGATTAACAGACGGAGGTCTGGTGAGATGAGCCGTCAGGAACTATGTACACCCGTCACCGTGAATTGAGGACCAAGGGTGAGTGTCTTCAGTATCAGGCCTGCAACGGGGGTTTATAGACTATTTTGCCGGCTTTAATTTGTTTTATTTTTGGTGGGCCCACTCATTAAAGACTGTCAATTGTTTTATGTTTTTGGTGTTCAAACTAAAGGACTCTAATGTGTTCGGGACTGTTCAACATAAGGTAGTTTGGGACTACGCGAACATTTAAAAGGAAGGGAAAGTCCCTATTTATAAACCAGGTGGTTGTTATTTGTTTTGATATTTTTAGTTATTTGATGGTTAACAATCACCAAAAGGTGTTGTTTGAATTATATTCCCTTTGCCAGACATAAGGTCTGCTGGTGACCATATTCAGTGTGAGGGTATATTTTCACATGTGGTTTACTTTATTTTTGTTCTGAAGTTTGGTAAATAAATACTTTACCTGAATAAAGTCTCATCATTTATGGGTCAGACATAGGCAGTTAAACTAAGTTGAATGACAAAACAGTACCTGGGGTTTCATGGGAAATGTAGTGAAACCCGTTTCATGGGGTGTAACATTAAATAATTAGAACCCAGAGCGCTAAATCTAGCCTAGATACCAGAAAGCGCTACACTTGCTATATAACACCCTGATATTATTGTCTTGTCTGTTTCGTTATTTATTTGTGTTGTTAATTTTGCAGTTAATTTCTGACCTTCAGCTGTTTTTATGTCTTTGTTCCCTCTTTGGATTATTTTGTTCAAATCTAGGATAGAAATTGGAGAAAATTTATGCAAAATACTTTAATACAATATTAACACAATACATAGAAACAATAGACAACCGAACAAATTTGTGTGTAAATTTTTCTAAATAAAGTGCTGAGGATATTTTCATCAAATTACAGCCTTTCTGAGGCGGAGCTGAGAAACTACAATAAATATACCTGAGAGGGAATCTGAAGCTAAAGTAACGATCCTACCATGCTAGACTGGATCTGATACCTTGTCAATATTTTGGATCAACAACAAACAAAAAAAATAATACTTTTTTTAAGAGCTGAAAACTAATAGTCAAGCATCAAATTTATAATCACTCAACCGTTTCCTGCCAATAAAAAAATTAAGTAAAAATGATGGTCAGCTGCGACGCGGGAGGCAAGAACACACAAGATTCTTACAAGAGCAGAAACAGAAGAGACTCTTTTGCAAAGAAACGACAGCAGGGTTTTTAGACTTCCTCTCCCTGAAGCAGAAACACTTTGATGCATGTCTGGAATTCTGTTCATGTGCTGCTGCTGATGATCAGGAGCGACTGGTTTATTTTTGGTTCCTGGAGATTGAGCAGATAACACACCAGGAGAAATGTCAAGCAAGAACCGAGTCCTCAGTTCTGTGAGATGAGACAATCAGATTTTAGCCCAGACTTTGACAAGGCCACAGTTTTGTTCTGTTTTTGTACCTTCTGGTGTGTTTTGCTGTGTTATCTAAATCAGCGGACCGTTTTGGCCTTTGAATTTACTATCTTGAGTTTTTAGTGGTTAATTATTCAATTAATCTATCAGAAGTCTATTCTCGATGACTTTTCCCTTACTTATATAAACTTAAGTACTTACTTATATAAATGTACCTCTTTGGATTCTTCTCTAATTCCACTAATAAAACAAAACTTTTTTATTTTATCAGTCTAATTTTATCAATTGCCAAATATCATATAGATTAGTCTATATGCTTCTCGGCCTTCTGATAGAAGTTTCCTAGACTTCTATTAATAGAAACAGATTTAGTACAAACACATTGGAAATCTTGTTACTCCTACTCAAGAATAATGAAAGTTTGTTTTAAAAAGATGGAAAAAAAAAATAAGATAAAACAGACACGTAAAAAACTATTGACCTGTTGAATGATCTTTATAACAAATTTAAACAAGAAGAAGTCTCAGATGTAAGATTTATTCAGCATGAGTAAAATGATTACACTTCCATCAAAATGACATAAAAGCTGACAAATTATGTGATCAAAAAGGTTTTAGTGAACATTACGGTATGGCTTATTTTCAAAAGATTCCAATAAAAAAAAACATAGGGACAGAAATGTATGAAAAAAAAAAATCCACAAACCACAGCAAGAGCCAAGACAGGAACCTTCATGAGCAAAACATGAACATTAAGTTAACATTTATGCAAAGTTTAAAATAAAGTTAGGAATTTTAAATTTTAATTTAAGTTTATCTGATAAGGACAGACACACATCAACATAGGCAAACTGAACAGAACATCAGTCCCATGTTTGTGTCATAGTGCTTTTGACAGCTGTCAAACCACATGTCAAAAATAAACATGGCTTAAAAAAACTCTCATTCAGTGAAGATTTTCAGCAGTGGGATGACGTTTTCGCAAGACAGCAACGGGAACACGTTTTTCACATCACACCAGTCACACGATCGACGACAGGAAACGAACGACGGACAGAAGAACGCAGCAAAGCGTGCAATGCCCACAAAAACCCTCTGAGCACACAGAGCAAAGGATTTTTAGCTAAGTTGGCTCTGAGCCAGGACCTTCTGCATTTAGGGGCCATCACAGGGGATTAATCGGCCAATCAGAACCAGCTGGAGGAAACATGTAGCCAATAGGAAAAAAAAAGAAGAAACATTTTATTGCAGGGTTCAAACATGAAACCATTCAACTGAATAAAAACACACCTCAGAGTTTAAATTAATCTTTATTTAAATTTATAACCAAACATGGATAATTACTATTGATAAGAAAAGAAAATGAGATAATCCTTCATATGCAGATATTATGACAGATATCCAGACACTTCTAAGAGAAGAGATCACTTCAGGCTCATAAAAACATGACAGTTTCATGAAACTGCTAAAAGTATCCTTGTATATTCAAGGGACTAGTGGGTGGAGGTAGATAGTGAAGGTGAAAGGTCACATTTGGCATCTCCTATGCTCTACACCAACCTGTTTATGAGATTTGCTCATAGCCCACGAACCCTGCAGACCTTCCCAAGTCTTCTGAGAAAGGTCAGCAGGTGGAACCTGGAGTTAAAGCTCCAGCAGTGATTGGGTTTTCGGAAGATTATTGGTTGTTGCTTGTATATTTGTATTTGAGACTGACTGTCTGAGAAGTGCTGGTTTTATTGACAGTGTTTTCTTGTGACAGCGACTCTGTGGATCTCACTATATCACGGTGCACTTCTTCTTGACCTTCTGGTTGGGAGCGTTCACCGGAGACATCACCACCCTGACGGCTTCATCAAACAGGGTCTTGACGCCGCGCTGCGTCAGAGCCGAGCACTCCAGGTATTTTACCGCACCTGGTTTCGGGCAACAACAAGGAAAACATGTTCATTGTATTTCCATTGTTTTCAAATGACATGCGCATGTCAGTAAGTTTGAATATCTACACCGAAGAGTTGATCTACCTCAGTAACTCACCTGAAGTTACTTAAAAAATGAAAGTCTTTGCCCATCAGTCTCTAGTCCTAACACAAACCTGTATCTGAGTTTCCATTAACCATAAAATTGCACAAATTGAAATTACAAAAATAAATTTGCTTAATGGAAACACGACGATTCCTCAAGAGAAGAAAGAGTTTTTTTTGGTGCTAGGATGAGGTAGTTTTTCAGCTGCATACAAACAGATGTTTTGCAAAACTGCAATAGAAACATTTTTTTTTGCATCACACTAGTCACGTGATCAACAGCCGCCTCTTCCTGTTGGATGTTACTACTGGCAAAGATGACAAAGAAGACAACAGGAAGTGGTAGCAAGATGATGTTTTTTTTGTTTTGGTCTGTTTTCCCATCATTCAGCTGACTCCACCAGAGCTCCCACAGCATCACACTGCAAGGACAAGCTGTGTCATTCCAGTGTGTTCAGTCCATAGCTCTTCTGCAAAATGGCCAACTATAATGTGACGATTTAAGTCCAACAAGCTTATCCGTGTGTGATTTTAATTTAATTTCTTATGTAACGGAAACACTGCAGCTGGTGTGTGGTGGAGTCCAGCCCAGTTCACGCCTTCAAACTCTTAAATTTGCTTCACGATCTTCTTAATTCTGCAGAAATTCCTGTTGCTTCTCCATTTTTGCCTGTTACATTTTAAGCTTTTTATTAATACGGTGGGACATAGAACTGTTGTGAGATCGGTGACTGTGTGCAGCAGAGCTGTTGGGTCACACGCCATCCTTGTGAATGAACAGCCCAGAGAGTAACATTGTATTTGCATTTTCTGAGACACTAAATTTTGAGTTTGGGTCTGAATAATAAATATTTTAATAGTTTTGAGTAACAGTCGTCAAAATGAATTGAAATAAGTACATAAATTAAACTGCAGTGAACATTGAACCTCTACACACTTATTGTTTTAAATAAAATTAAATGGTCATAAATACATTTTTTCATAAAAATTTTATTTAAGCATAGGCATAAATGAAAGTCGTTTATTTTCTGACTGTTTTAAAGATGTTTAACCTCTTCCCAAAAAAAAAAAAAAAAAACGGGACGGAAAACAGTCACAGGATGAAAAGCATGTGTGACAACATTCACATTATTTTCCATCACCCTAGCTACAGCATTTTATACTACAAAACCATCACAGTGGATATATGTATAACATGCCTGACGGTGTTCGCCTTTAAATCAGTCACACAATAATGCTGAATACAAGCATTTTTATGAACTTAAATTAACCAGTTAAAAAAAAAAAAGTCACTCTAAGCTCGTGTTTTGAATGTTATACTGAACATGTGTTGGTTCATGTGTGGACTGGATCACTGACCTATTTCCTTGGTCAAGGCCAAAGCCTGTTGAAGGGTGATGGGAGAGAGGCTTTTCTCGTTCAGCTTGTCAATCATGTCCTTGTCGTCCCTCAGGTCGGACTTGGTGCCCACCAGGATCATGGGGGTGTTGGGGCAGTGGTGCTTCAGCTCCACGCTCCACTGCAGGAAGAGGCGGCAGGACGTTAGTGGACCAACTGACACGACAGCAGCAGGATCTGTTTCCTTTCGTTCTTTAGGAATTTCTTATTAATATAAAACATTTCATCGACAAAGTGCTTCACATGACGAAAACAAAACATCATAATCAAATGTACTGTCACCAAATAATATATAAAAACATCTGAATTCAATCCTATCTCAGCTTTATCCTCTGAAATTGTTTTCAAATAAAAAAAAATGTTATCTTTAGTACTTCAGTTGTTTTAGTTAAATGTATACCATTAACAAAAAATTAAAAACACAGTGGAAAGAAACTAAACTGTTGAGATTTTGTTGTTTGTAAAACCAGTCTGCTAACAATGTCTCTGTTCAAAACATACATTTCCTGCATTTGCAAATTCCACAAAAACCTTCGACATGTCAAAATGTCAAGTTTTCTGTTTTTCTATTATATCTAGAACTTAATTTATTCATTTAGGTCATTTCTGATAACATATAAGATTGCAAATATGAAAGTAAATGCACACACCTTTGTTCGGACGTTTTCAAAAGAAGCTGGACTGACCACTGAAAAGCAGACCAGGAACACATCCTGAGAAGCAAAATCAAGAATGAACTTATTTGTTTGTCTGTTACTTTCCTGCAGACGTATGCAAACCCACCGTCTGAGGGTAGGACAGAGGTCTGAGTCTGTCGTAGTCCTCCTGTCCTGCTGTGTCCCACAGACCCAGGGACACTGGTTTCCCATCCAGTAGCATACTGGCAGAGAAATTATCAAATCTGAAGGGAAAGAGTTTTGAAAAATAAACCAACTTTTCTTGGATGTGACATTTCACCAAGTACAATACAAAAACAATAAAGACAGTAAAGACATTAAAATTTGCACACTGTCTTTAATAATCCGGACTCCAAATCACAGTTGAACGTGACCACATCTGGTCACTAGTTGGCGCTGTTTGCTCTGCGTGGTACTCACACTGTGGGGATGTATTCTCCTGGGAAGGCATTGGTGGTGTAGCTGATGAGCAGACATGTTTTACCCACAGCCCTGAGGAAAAAGAGAATGAAGCATACATTTAGATAATACAAACAAGAGTAGCACTACGAGCCTAGTAAAAACTAACACCTTGAACTGCACTTCTCTTTGTCCAAAGGGTTTGGGATGTTGAGAAGCGATTGCTAAAACTCCAGACAATTCTAAAACAGCGCAGAAAAGCGATGTCATTGTTCACAGCTTCTCTTTCTGTCCGCTGATTGGTCGGAGTCAAGAGGACAGAGCCCAGACTGTGCTGGAAGCGAGACAGTTTTTCCAGTGGAATTGCATAGGAACGCAATGTACAGACAGACTAGCATAGCACAGCACAAGAATAATCAGGAGAAGGCTTCAAAACTCCAAAGTTTCTAGATTAACTTCTAGAATAACTTCTGTGTTCAAGTGTCTACAAGAGTTTCTTTCTGTTATAACCAGGATTTGCTATCATCTCTACCATCCACAAACTGATACCAAACACCAATGAGGGGCTGTGAAAGATATCAGATGATCTAAGAGGTAAGATCATGACCAAGACAGGAAAACATGGCCTCTGTCTTATGCCAGCGCTATGTGATAAAGAAACATTCTGTTGCTACATCCAAGTTTTTACACGCTAGGCCAAAAGAAATGGTCTGGAAGACCCCACTTCAGAGCGGGAAACAATCCAAAGTAAGGTTGAAAATGAACTGAGCCAAGACTCTGTGGGACATTCAGGCTCAGAAAAGTCAAATCTTAAAAATGTCCGAAGGGATCAAAGAGGAAATGACTGTTGAAAGTCAAGATTAAACTGGAACTGTGGCTTTCGCCTTTTCAAGGAGGAACTTCTGAGATCTGAGTCAAGAAGAGCAGAGTCCCAGAAAAATCTAAGATGTTGGAGAACGTTCAATCTCCTAAACCAACAACCAATGTTGTTTTGGTTTTTAATAAGGACGGGTTCACATTTTTATTTGAGTTGGTTTGGCCACAAATATAATATATACTTCCTCACAAGAAGCATGAAAATAATCTGATTATTGTTGTACACTTTTACTATCGTTTGCTGCAGGGAGCAATGACAGTAGCAGCTGCAGCACAGAGCTGACTGGATCTGCTGTCTGCCTACTTCCTGTCTGAGTGCCGTCATTAAAGGCCACTAGTCCCAAATAATAAGATTAAGAAAAAGTGAAAGTATTTAAAATCTTTCTTATTGTGGTTAATTTTTTTTCTTATAAATAAAAGCGTACAATCGTCACTGAAAAGAGGCAACATGTTGGATGTGCTGCAAATGTTGCTGCAGCTGATGTTGCTAACCTGATAAAAATATTTAAAGGACATTTTGTAAAGAGCTGCAGGTAAAAACCTGTTCCACCATGACTGTACGACATGAAGACAAACTGGTTTGGACTGGAGGGACTGTTTTCATGAGCGTTGTTTTGTGACCCAAGAAACAATTTTATTCACCTTTTCTTTCTCTGGCTCTTCCATATCAGAAAACATTCAGAAATGGCACTTTAATATCTAACAAGGAGATAAAATACAACATTTTGCACCAATGTTAGCTTCTTTGTCATTATTAGATATGAAAACATTTTCTTTGCCTTCATCTGGCTTTGCTTTACATACAAATTATCTTGGTTTTTACAGTAAATATTAGAGAGGGGGAAAAACAGCTTCTGTTGGCTGTTTTTTTAATGTTGTTGTTAAAACATCTTATGATTTACAGGTGAGAAGGAAAAACTGAAAGTCACTTACCCATCCCCCACTACCACACACTTAATGGAATTTTGCATCAGACACAGCGAATAGGCGACCTGGACGAAAGATGGATGAACAGGAATCTGTCGTCCTAAAGGCGAAGCGGCTGGAGGAAAAGCTTCTGGAGAGACTCATCCATGCTCTGCTTCAGCAGGAGAGACTGCAGCACCAATTATTGGACTTCCTCTCCTGTACCAGGAACAACACCCTGATGAATCGCTGGAATCTTGCTCAGGTGTTGTCTGTTGGCAAGAATTTCATTCATGCAGATGTCTGTGGCAGTTCGCACGATAAAGCAAAATGTCTGACAAGCATTGAACTGTGATGCTGATCAAAGAGCCAGTGTGGCGGAAACGCAACATTTTTGAGCTTTGAGGCATCTCGTAATGTCATCCCTTCAACAAAAACACACCTGGCGTGTTGCCTCCATTCTTTCAGAAACATTTGAGAAATCCTTTAATCTCCATGGCAACCATTCAGCAATGCAAAATGCCTGGGTGGACCCAGCTCTGCCTTTTCAGGATGAAGCTCCTCCTCTGAGCTGTAGTTTCCTAACTTCAGAGCTTCTGCCTCACAGAGCAACTCCCCCCTTCAGCTCCTTCAGACTAGCCAGCAGCAATTAGCAAACACCCAGTGGAGCTGCCACATGTGCTGAGCTCATTGCATGAGCTCTTTCTTAGTGCAACACTGGTAAAAATGTAGTTAAAGGGTTAACAGAGGAGCCACGTTGTCATGACTTGCTGATTAAGGCAAGTCATGACATGAAGTCAGAAAGAGGAGGAGCTTTTAAAGAGACAAAGGCCCAATTTCAAGGTGCTGAATTATAGAGTCAAATGTAACTTGTTGATTCTGTGTGGTAATTCATTTAATTTTTCATTGTTTCCTATCATAATACAGTTTCCTTAATCCAGGCTAGATTTTATGATAGGTTAGTTTTCAGTAACTGATTACTGACCCAGTCAACAACCCTTTGAAGAAACTTGATACCATGAGTAACATCAAATTTTTCCTTTGGGATTTTTGAATATTTTTGAACTCAGTTTGTTTCAGATGGATTCCAAACTATAATTTCCATTAAAGACTCTAAAATATTGTTGAAGAAGTTTATTTTATTTATTCATTTCAAGTATGATAGAAGTATAAAATCACACACATGAACAAAGAATGCAAAACACATTGCTGTACTACAATAATCTTATCAAGCTTGAAAAGCAGTAGGAAGGAGTGAAAAGCCGATGAACTGCTATCCTATAAACTCATAAAATACTTTCAGGTGGACCTTCCATTATTAAATAATAACTAAATAAAAATAAACATAGATTAATTAATGTTCTATTCTATCTGGGTTTACATACTTCTAAATTTATATAGACATACACATTAGTGCTGTCTCTCAGCCTTATTTCTATATCTTGTGTAAATATTTCCTTTTAAATTGTATTATGTTTTGACTTTGTTTTAACTCCTCATTTAACTTGTTCCATAATTTCACACCATGAATTGAAACAGAAAAGCTTTTTCTTGTTGTTCCAAATCCTTCAGTTTGAGTGACTTCTTCGATTATTCCCTTCTCTTTCACACATGTTCTGTGTGAGCTCAGGTAGCAGTTTATTAGATGTTTTAAATATGATTCCAAATGTAGTGATAATTTACTATTGTCAAACTATTTCTTTAATTCTCTAATTTCTGAGGTGAGTTTTTACCAGAGACTAGAATATTTGTGTTTAATACCTTAATACCTTAAACACTTTGCTTCATACAAATGAAATAAAACTGGTCCCAGGTCTGAGCCATGAGGTACTCCACATCCAACCTCCAGATAATCAGATGCAATATTTCCCATCTTCATAAATTGTTTTCTACTCTGTTACCAATTTTCTTATAGGTTCAACCTAAAAGAAAACTGGAAGCAGGTTTTGTCACCATGTTTATTGAAAAAGAAATCACATCCTTAGTCACTTTGAAAGGACCAAAGCAACCAGAAAAGCAGGAGAACAGGACAGCTGGACATTTTTTCATTAAATGAAATTTGACATCTTCTCTGTTTGTAAAAACGATGATTTTTGTGGGAATTCTGACTCATGGCTCACATGGATCTCCATCAGAGTATCTGGCACCTGCGTTTTTTCCGGACTTCGGGGGTCAGCATGACCGCCCTGATGGCTTCATCAAACACAGCCTTGAGGCCGCGCTGCGTCAGAGCGGAGCACTCCATGTACTTCACTGCACCTGGTTTCAGCACACACAGGAAAAATGTGTTATTGTATCTATGCACTGCAGTGCAAAAATGTATGGATGGATTTTCTACTTATATATATGTATAAATGCAAATTTGCTAAATAGAAATGGACTTTCAGTTTTTTTGAGTTCCTAGTTGTCCAATGACAAGTTCAAAATTTGCCTTATACATTGTTTTGGATCTACAATTAATAACATTCCTTTCCTACAAAAAAAAAAAAAACTGGACCTTTCAGTTTTTGTTATTTGTTTTTCTCTGGCCCGTTTGTCCCTCTGTAGCGCCTAGATACATTTAAACAGAGAATACGAGAACCAAAACCTGACCGATTTCTTTCGCCATAGCAAAGCCCTGCACAGTGGTGATTGGAGTCAGTTTGTTCTTCTCCGGAGCTTCAATGGTCTCACTGTCATCCCTCAGGTCCACCTTGGTGCCCACCAGAACTATAGGGGTCGCAGGGCTGTGGTGTTGCAGCTCTTTGATCCACTGCAGAAGGAAAACGGGTTGTCAATAGCTCTGTAAGAATGAAACCATTTTCCGTCCACCTTTAGGCTTCTTACATGTTTTTCTTACGTCTAAAACCAAATATAGAAATATACTTTATGTCTTAAGTAGACATTGGATTGTGTCAATGACGGCCATTTTTTCTACGTAGTTGTGATCTGATGTGAACAGCTGGCCTTGTTGCAGACAGCAGGCTGTTCTTACCTTGGTACCACATTCTGGAAGGAAGATGGACTGACGACAGAAAAGCAAAGCAGAAACACGTTCTAAGAGAGAAGGAAGCAGCATAAAAAATATTCATAAAAAACTATTAACACAAACTTTTCACAGTTCAATGTAGACTATTGAAAACTCTGTCGGACTTGACTTGAATGTATTTATGTTGAGGATCTTTAACTTGTCTAGTTGACATTATCAATTAATCAAAGGTCATCAACTTTCATTTGATAAACCATTATTTGACAATCGATTATTTGTTTGCATTCCTTGTTGCATCAACTAGTGTGAGCAGATGTACTGAACATACACCTACCGTCTGAGGGTAGCACAGAGGTCTGAGTCTGTCGTAGTCCTCTTGTCCTGCTGTGTCCCACAGACACAGGTTCACTGGATTCTCATCCACCAGTACATTGGCAGAATAACCATCAAACCTGGAGAAAAACAGACATAGTGAAAGATGTCAAAGACATTGTCTTATTCCATATCTCCAAATTTGCCTTGTTTACTCAAACGTTGGGTGTAAACCACATCTGGTCAGAAGTTGTCATGCTTTGTGCTGTGTAGGACTCACACTGTGGGGATGTATTCTCCAGGGAAGGCATTGGATGTATAGCTGATGAGCATACATGTTTTACCCACAGACCTGAGGGGAGAAACAAGACAATAATGATAGTTATAACTTAATAAGTATGTTCTCTAATGATGACTGACCATTCTGATGTATAACTCTTTGTTTGGAAGCTGGGGTTTTGCTGCGCATTGGAGGTCAGATTCCCTCCACACACCTGCAAGTCATCAGTCTCATCAGCCTGAGGCTTAAGGGAACTGTCACTTTTGTGCCTGAGTGCTTGCCTTTTATGGTACTCTGTAGCCTTCTGAGTTCCTGGATTCAGTGACTTACCCTTATGATTTCCTCTCTGTGGTGCCCAGGATGTTTCCCTCTGTATTGCCTGAGTTTCTCCGCACAACTTCAAGACCTCCTTTAAAGATTTCCTGGTTCAACTTCCACAACTGGTGACTTACCGCTCCATTCCTTCCAAATCTGTGCTGGTTACCTGTCTGCCCTCCAATGCAATCACCAACCTGCGGCCTCCGCCATTGCTCCCTGGACTGTACCTTCTTGGACCTGCAAGCCCACAAGAACCCTACCTCCAGTGACCACTCAGTCTTCAACCTCTCCTTGGCAGATTCACCTCCATCTTACCAATAAGCGCTCCTCTTCAATAAAACATTATTCATCTGTTAAGCTGTTACTTCTCATCTCCCGTCTTCAGTGTTCCTGATCTCCCAGCCTCTCCGACTCCCAGACACAGAGCGCAACTGTTTTAACTGTTTTTTTCTCCGTCTCCTAAGTGTGTTCTGCATGTGGGTTAAAAAATCAGCACCTCATTGACAGAACACTCAGGATAACACTCACTGAACAGAATTCCCTCATTCAATGCCATGATACATAAGAATTCTGATCAACAACCCCTACCCAATCAATCTTTGGCTCATCAAACTAATTTCTTACAAAGAAATCTCCAACAGGCTCCTGCTCAGTTCAGATTTTCACTCCCCTGCCTCTCTCTGTCTCTTCTGACATGCGTCCTCTTACTCCGGAAACATACTAAGGTGATGTAAATCAATGTGGAGGTTTCCTGTTATGGTGCTCCTCGATCTTTAATCACTCTCCTCAGAGCTTCTCTCGAGGTGATTCCAAGACAGCATATGGCTTTGGCCTTGACCTGTTATCAGGAAGAGCCTTGGACTAGGTTGTTAAGGGGTTTCAGAACCCATTGAATTTCAGCTGCTCTTCTGAATATTTTCTAGCTGAATTCAAACAAACCTTTAGCCAGGAATCACATATATTCCACACTCTGTCATTACTGTGGCTCCCTGGGTCATTACATTACGGTCTGGCCAAAAGTCAGGGCCCCCAGTAGACTTGAGGACGCTTAAAAGAAACCAACAATCATTTCCCCAACTTCCTCTTCTTGTCACTGTTTCAAATATGAGTTATTCAGTCTGTCAGTTCTTGTTGATTCTGGTTGTGAACATAATCTGATTGATTCTGCTCTAGTCCAACAGTCCTCCAACAAGGAGGACTGTTGACTTCTTGATGGAGGTTGCATCCTGACCAAAAATGAAGCCGATGGGTCAAAATCACAAGGAGTTTGTTAAAGTTTAAAGTGTCTAAAAGTGAAAAAGACCAAAATTTGCTCTTTGATCCAAAATGGCTGCCTCCCTGTTCATCCAAGAGGCTTTTTGTCTTGATTTGTGGGGGGCAAGGGCAGGGGGTTACCTACACACTGAACTTGAGTTCTCTACGATCTGCAGTCCTGTCTCATGTTTGAAAGATAACATTTCTATTCTACAGAATTGCTTTTATATCAAGAAATGATCAAATTGTTCAAATGTTCTGGCAAAACAGTTTCAATATTGACTCAAAGTAAAACTATGAGAAGCTTAGAGCTTCAACTCCCTAAGTTGAAAAACCCCCCAAAAATGTTCGTACGAGTCTTCTTGTTTACAAAGAGCAGAGATGTACAACATGCTTACTTTAAATCCATCACACTGTGAAACACTGGATAAAGTGAGAATAAAAATCTAACTTACCCATCTCCCACCACCACACACTTAATGTTATTCATCATATGGTGAGTTAGCTTGGACAAATTACCAGGAGGTAAAGTAAACCAGAGTCCTTGTGCTGTCTGAAGTGTACAACAAACTAAGTGAACTGTTTTTGGAGTTTCTGGTTTATATTATTTTACAGGAATGATCAAGACTTCCTCCTGATTTACCGTCAACGAAAGCTTGAGAAATTTCTGGAATGCTGACCAGGTGTTGCTGCTGGTAAAGGTGAGTAACCCAGCGTTTATTTAACCAGATCAGAGTTTTGATGAATATTTCTTTCAACTTTGACCAAAACGATTTTTGTTCACCTGTAAAGGAACGGTTTACAACCATACTGCCTCTACAAGCTGGTAATGCATTCAACAACAGGATTTGATATGGATGTGATATTAACATTCTTTGGGAGAACCCTGTAATATTTTCACAAAACACAGATCCAAGAGAGCTTCATAAATGCTTTATTTGCTTTACAAAACAAAACACTACATAAAGATACTGCTGTATTGAAAACAATTACAAAATGTCCAGAATTTATGGCTCTTCAGAGTACCTGTGCTAGTTTAGCTTTTCTCGTATCAGTTGGGCAGCCTCTGATTCAGTCAGCATTAGGCTGATTACAGTTTAGAAAAATTAGTTTCAACAAAACATGTTCCTATTAAACCATTCTTCTAATTACAATGGAGTCCTTTTTGTTAGTGGTTGTGACCAGTTTTCTTTGGCGAAATGGAACAGAATAGCGTTGCCCCCTTCCCAACGTGTTGCTGTGTTTTTAGGTTAGCTGGCAGGAAAAATGACCCCAGTTGAGCTAGAACCACAGGTGGCGCTACTGAGCATCTTTATGAAGTCAACGCCACTTTAAAACAGTTTGGATCCACAAGCTAGCCAGCAGATAATCACACTGACCAATTTGTTTTTTTCTCCCACTATTACTGAAGAGCAGCTGGGATAAAGTTTGAAATGTTCTGCTTTCAACTGGGTTTCTGCTCAAAGTCTGATTAATATTGTAGTGCAACATCTCAGATAGAATAAAACAACTTTGTTGTCATATGTAATTTTTATTTGCAACAAAACGGATCATTTGACTCAGTCTAAGAATTTCCAACCAACCCATGTCTAATTTTTATTCAACATTAAATGGCTAACACTAATTGAGCTCCACTCTTCAGATATTATAACACTGACTCACTTCAGAAACTTGGAATAAAGCGTGAAAAACCACAAACCTTCATGACAACATAAATATATTCTGAAATAATAATAATAAAAAAGATAAATGCAGTGAATGCAACTAAAATACTGTCCTTCAGGAGTTGACCTCCTTTTCCTTCCGTCAGTTTTTACGGGTGAGGCGTGAGGTTGCCATGTCAGAAAACTCCAAGTCAGAAAAACAAACATTAAAGCAAAAGTGTGATCAGTGATCTGGGTTTCTGCAACCTCCATCTAAATGAAGTCATGTAAACAAACCAGTCTGTCAAGCTAGCAAATCAAGTGACATTTAAAAAAATGTATCTAAAAACATGTTTGCATAAAGTAGAATTCAATAAAGGCAGCAGGAATCTTAGTGTTCAGGGCAAAGTGAAACACTGGACCTTCTGTAAAAATCTAGTAATATGACAAATCCACATTCAAGTAGTGTTTCTTCATTGCATATGACAAAAATATAAGAATATTTTTAATAAAAATTCCAATCGTATCGCTTTACCTCACATCCCGAGGACTTTTCAAAATTTACCATGTACTAATGGATCTGAAAGAGCCAGATGTAACCAAGCACACGAACATCTGGGTCCGCTCATAGACATTATACCACTTCCAAGAATATGACATCAGGGCCATTGGAGATAGAAATGTTTTTTTGAAAAAGAAGTGCATTTCTGACAACAACTTGGAAATTTCAAGATTCATCTGAAAAATTTTCTAGAAAAAATGTGGACATTTCTGAGTTTCAAAGGTCGATAATGTTTGACTTTTGAAACTCAGAAACGTCTTTATCTTTTCCATAAGACTTCTAAAATTAATCTAAAAAATTAGGTGGAAATTTACTTTTTTTTTTTTTCTATGTAAAAGATGCCCTGATCCGGCATAGTAAAGCTAGTTGTAAGAACCCGTGTGCCATTTTTCCGTCATCCTGGCCATGTGTTCTGATCCGGATGGGTCGTCCTTACAGTACGGTGCACTTCCTCCTCCTGGGCTTCTTGGTGGGCTGGGGGCACAGAACCGCCCTGATGGCTTCGTCGAACACCGTCTTAAGGCCGCGCTGCGTCAGAGCAGAGCACTCCAGGTACTTCACTGCACCTGGTTTCAAAGATGGAAGAATAATGAAAAGTTTTTCCTCTCAAATATTGATAAACTTTAGCTTGGTGCAAAACATGTAACACTGGACCTGGAAGATATTTAAAATATCCAAAGTAAAACAAAACAGCTAAAACAATAAATTAAACAAAAACTTATATGCAACCAAAACCACAAATAAAATGGATTATGAAGCAAAAATGCCCTTCAAAAAATATTCATCATCAGAATGGGAATGATCAAGCTCATTTTAATTTATCGTGTGATTAATTGATCAGTTGCTTGTTGCAAAATGTTTACAGGATTAAATTACATGAATTTTGTGTCTCTGAAGTGTGAATGTGTGTCATCCTGAATCATCCATGTGTATTGGTCAAAGGTTTTATTGCATTAATACTGTGTGAGTTACTTTAGCTGTATCGCCATCATCACTTTGTGTTTTCATATGTAAAGATGAACAAATGGTCTAGAGCTGAAGCTCTGGAAGCTTCCAATGAGTTAGAGAAATGATAAAAAGTTTTTTTAAGCATCCAGCATACTGAGATGAGTAAATCATCAATGCAGATAATGCCAAAAGTAATCATGTTACTTATGGGCCATTGATGCAAATCTGAGTCAAACGCTGTGTAAATGCTGGCTCAGCAGTGACAAATATGATAGTAGAAATTGATCTGAGCATGTGTGAAACAAAAACTGACTTATTTCCTTAGCCATAGCCAAGCCCTGTGGATAGATGATGGGGGAGAGTTTCTTCTCCTTCAACTTTTCAATGGTGTCCTTGTCGTCCCTCAGGTCCAACTTGGTGCCCACCAGGATGATTGGCGTCTTGGGGCAGTGGTGTCTGACCTCAGGATACCACTGCAGGACAACACAGGCAATCACATGCAGAACAGGAAGTATGAGGGAGCTCCATTGTTAGATTAATATCAAACACATGTCTGTTTATTATTACCAATATTCCTTTAAAATATCAATTTATCATCTCATGCTAGACTCCATGCTTTGCTTCTTTTTGGGGGTGCACTGATGAGTTGATTTCTGTAATTTTGGGAGATTGGCCGATATCCACAACATTCGTCTATATTCCGCTAATGTCGAAAAAACACAGTTTTGCAAATGCAGTGTTTCCATTAAATAAGAAATTAAGTTAAATTCCCACCTGAGTAAGTTTGTTCACATGACAAGTTATTAAAAATCACAGCAGCAACTAACATAAATGAATATATTCCTAATTCAGACATCACTTCCTGTCATCTTCTTTGTTGTTTTCACCAGTAGTAACATCTGATAGATGATCACATGACTCATGATACAGGAAAGTTTTTCCATTGCAGTTTTGCGCAACACATCTATTTCAATAGGACTAAAAAAAAAACCCCACCCCATCCATACAAAAAACTTTTTATAGAAAAATTTGTTTTTTTGTTCGAAATTGTCGAGTTTCCATCAAGCAGATTTTTTTTATAATTCCAATTTGCGCGATATTATGTGCAATGGAAACACACTGTCCCCCTTTACGCTGCTCAGAGTAGGCTGACTGACGGAGCCACCCACATAAGTGAAGTTAATAATAGTCATCCAACTTAGCATCTTTTGAGATATGAAAAGAAATTGGTGTCATCCAAAATTGGAAACGGCAGGTCAGCCTTCTTAAAGGTTGATGATCTTTAAGAAAACTGCAATCGGTGCAGCCTTAGATTCATAATGCAACACAGGCTCCTCTTACCTTGGCCCGGACGTTTTCAAAGGAAGCTGGACTGACGAGTGAGAAGCAAATAAGAAAAACGTCCTGGAAAAAAAAAGAAGGTAAAAATCAGTCACTGAATGTATTCATACCTTAATGTGAGAAATCATGTTGTTACTTGAGTTAGAATACATAGAATAGAACGATAATGACATGACAACACAAATCAGGACTCATTATATTGGTCAAATACAGAGTGACTGTCTCTCTCTCTCTTGCACAAAGACCAGATTGTTGTGAAGACAAACAGCGTAAAGAAGAGCTGCTTTTTACTGCGTCTCACTGTCCTCCAGACTCTGTGTATTATTCACTGTACTTGTCTGAGAGGGAGATTGTTTTGTTTTGTTAAATAACTCCGAGTCAAGACAGTGTTCGTTCTGCCAGAGGCTAGCTAATTCAGATCTGTCCAGGACAATGGACAGAGATGAGTTGTGTGTACACTCACTGTCTGAGGGTAGGACAGCGGCCTCAGCCGGTCATAGTCCTCCTGTCCTGCTGTGTCCCACAGACCCAGGTTCACCGGTTTCCCATCCACCATCACATTAGCAGAGTAGTTGTCAAATCTGCAAGGAATGTCTAAAAATTAGCTTTTGAGGACATGTCTGCTGACCAGAAGTTTCCTCTGCAACACATTTTAGGTCCATCACATTGAGAATGACCAGTGCAGCAGAGTGTGGTACTCACACTGTGGGGATGTATTCTCCTGGGAAGGCGTTGGTGGTGTAGCTGATGAGCAGACATGTTTTACCCACAGCCCTGAGGAGACAGAGAAAGAGAGGGCTACAGTAAGGACAGTGGGTTTCATAAGCAGCAAAAAGTATTTCTATTTCTAACGTTCACCACCTTGTTAACATAAAGTGAGAAAATATATTTACAGAGAAATCAGCAGGTCACATCAGGAGTCAGAGAGGAATTGGGAAACAAAACCAGGTTTCCAGGTTAGGACAGGAACTGACCATTATTTTAGTGATTGATGAATCTGATGATCAATCAGTTTAAAACAAATGGCACATTCTGCTGAGATTTTATTTAACCACCTGGGCCTTTTTTTTTTTTTTTTACAAAATATTAA